TCATGTCCATTATGCAAGTTAGATCATAATGATGAGGATGGTGTGAAGGGCAGATATGAAACCGGATCCTATTATATCAAATATGAATAGCATAGAGTTGAAATTGAGGTAACAGCATAAAGCATAATAACATGAAAAATTAAAATTATTTGCTCTTTGAAAGATTTATTTTTTTCTAACACTCATTACGTGATTTTGAATTAACACATATTTTTTATATGATAACATGGCTTCTACCTCTGATAAGAAAATACTAACTAATAACTATCTTAAATGGCATGCTAAATTGACTTTACCGACTATTTTAACAGATAAAAAAAATCATTTTAGACTATATAAAAGATATAAAGAAGAGACTAGAGAAGATCCTTGGCAATATATTGATTCTCCTGGATCTTTCCAAATCGAAGATAGCAAAAATGAAACAGAGGTATGCATATTACCTATAAACAAAAATGCATCTCTCAATTCTCGTCTTCCAATTTCTATCTTACCCGATGATCTAGAAGAAAAACGAAATCTTGTTATCAAAATAGCTGATTTCAAGCCTATCATGTTCGAAGCCAAACCTAATTCAGAGTTAATTATCGAATCTGTCTTAGAGCACTTCCCATACTTGAAATTCTGAAATAGTTTTAGGGAAATTGATAATTATAGTTTTGTATCACCTCAGCCGTGGAGCTCACCATGCTCTATTTGCAATGAAAAACATGGGAATTATGGATTACATGGCAAATGGTATAAAAATGAAACAGAATATTGCCTTACCTGCAACAGTTTAAGCAATGAACTCAAGTTCGTGATTATAGCATAGGCCAGTATTAACACGCGATTGTGTAAATGTTGGAAAGCTTATACTGGAATCCAATAGTAACCATAAGAGCATAGATTAATAAAGTTTTTAATATATTAAAAAGTTAACCCAGTCTCCACTAATTAATAATCGCAAATTACATTGTAAAAAATCATATAAAAATAAAATTTGGTGAGGGCATGGGACCCCCCTCTTTATTTTATATAAATTATTGCTGGGACAATAATATACAAATAAAAAAATAATAATTTTTTCTAATTATACATTAAGGAAGGTAATCATTATCATCACAATCATCATCACCAGTCAAATACCACATATAACTTGCAATAGAATTGTTATCCTTCTCTCTATATTCATCGTAATACAACAGTTCATCATCTAGTTTGAATAGAAAAAAAAAACTAAGTCCCAGGTGGTTATATTTTGAGGAAATTATTTTTGAGGAATATTTACG